GAAATCTGGCAGAGAGAGAGGGAGCTCTTCACTCCCCACACTAAGAAAAGGGGAGTGGTAGCACAAGCAGCTTGATAATCTCAAAAGCCACTAAATTGCTGGAGAGCAAGAGCAGGGGGGGTGGGCATTTAAACAGCATCTTATCATCAGTCCTCCTAGGAAATCAACCGATCATCACAGCAAAGGATTAAAACATGTTTAAAAAGTAATAGTGAAATGAACTAAACAAATGTCAGAGAAAACGTAAACCTCATTCTTGACCCAATATAATTCACAGGCTGACAGCAGGACCTGTGGCCAATCAACAAGCGAGCTGCACATTATGAAAGTTCCTACATTTTGGATCCTCAGAAAGAAGAATCACTACACAGTGGACTGAAGTCTGCCTCAGTTGCTCAAAGGAAAACTGTGCTCCTAAAGAGCAGCAACAGCACTGGCATGTTCCCTCATGAGTCACCTTTCTATCACTAAAACATTGCAAAGCACTTTTCAAACTACATCTTGTAAAATCCACAGAATACAATAGTGGGTGGAGGAAGTGCAGAATTAAGAAACTTGTCCAAGCTCTCAGAACATGCAAGTAACTCAGGAACAGACTCTTGCAGAAACTGGTACAGAACAACATCCTTCCATGACAACATATTGCATGTTTTCTTGGGGTTTTAAAATTAAGTAGTGTCAAGGATTACCTTAAAAGCAGGAAATTCAGATGCTTGCCTATCTGGTCAGGCATTTAAGGCATACAAAAACTGAAGAATCTATAGCTCTAAGTAAGTATGCACTTTAAAATGGTATTTTGCTCTGCTGAGATAACAGGAATTTTGAGCCTTGCATTTCACATGCATAAATTCCTCTGTCTACATCAAACTCACTAAAAATATAGAAAACGCTCCATGCTCTTCAGAAAGGGACATTCAGCACTCCCACACTTAGTAGAGGCTAAAATAAGTAAAATTTTACTTCCAATGGAATTAAATTACACATGTCCTCAAAGGGACCTTATATTGAGCACTATTGTTGTTGGTAGCTTTCTAGAGAGCCTGGGAGAACTCTCTGGAGAGCACTATCAAGTCCTTTCAAGTGAGCCGAAGTCACTACTGGGGCACCTTTAAGGAAGCAGCTTTGCAGGTAAGCATTATCTATGTGGACTCCAGACAGAGTTTCCACATTGTTACGCAGCTAGATAAAATCATTTCACACACAGAGCTATGAGAGAGCATGCCCCGATTTTAGGAAGCAAGCTATAAAGCCAAGCAACAACTCTAGTGTGCTACTCAATTAACAAACTATTACTAGTTAAAAAAACTGACCCAGCTAAGGCCTCGTCACTGCATAATGGCATTATGCAACTCTCCCCTTGATTATAAGCAGAAACGCACAATGTGTAGTTTCTCTCATGTCTGTCTCTGCAACTGAAGTTTAACAGTAGACAGAATTTTAAAAAATCTTGTTCTTCCTCCACAATCATAGTAAAAATTTTGAAGCTTAACCCAGAGTTAAGACATGATTTTTCTCTATTCCCACTACAGGAAATTAGTGATACATAATTAATCCTAACATAAATATCTTTGCCTGGGCTCCATTAAGTACATTTAATAGAAAGTACAGTTATTACCAAATCTCAACCCTGAAGCTCTCATTCTGCTCCTTGGAAAAAAAACTGAAAGCCTACTACCTTGATCTAAGTTTTTTGATAACCCATCTCCAAGAACCCAGATTCAAATTTTGTCTTGGATCCCATTCACTTGAGGGTTCGGTGACCTCCTTCTAGTCGTTTTTTTAACACAAAAGTAGGAAATTATCACTCCACTGTGAAGTCAGGAAAGAATTTGGACAACACAGCACGTGTCTGCTGGCCAAGCTCAAGATGCACTGTGATGGCAGATCCAGGCAAAAAGTTCTCGACACCTGTCCACACCACATTCAGCATTATTATGGCCAGAGTCATGAAAAGCAAAGCCAGCAAGCATACAAAAATCTGAATGCACAATGAATACTACTGATCAAACCCCACTTGATGCTAATTAACATTAAAGCTGGCCAGAACCTGCCGTGATTCAAACTTGCATTCTCTGTTCAAGCAAAACTTCAGGGAAGCCTGGCAGAACCAGTAACTAAACCACAGGTGCAGGAAAAGCTGTCTGGATCTGTGAACTGCTTTCCTGTCACGTGGTGATGGAGAACAGTCCACATCAGAGCACGATAGTTGGGAATAGTAGCCAACCAGCTAACCACACAGTGATTTCTCATGCCTTTTGTTTGTTTTATGAAAAAGAGGTTCTGCCAATTGGTTTCAGATCAAAATTCTTCCTAATCAGGAAAGAAAGAAAATTCATATAAAATGATGCTCAGTAGGAATTAATCAGAAACACAGTCCTCCTGAAGGCATAAGCCTTTTTTGGTTAAGTAAAAAGTTGCCACCAGCTAATGTGCAAGACAGTAATGATTAGCCATCTGGTGAAGGCTCCTGCTAAGCTTGCCATGTTACCCTCTACGCTGAGGAAAGCAGCAGGTGGATCAGTTACATTCTGTCCTTGCCTGCAATTGTGTGGTCATCCTTAGGAATAAGACACAAAGCTTTCCAGCGCAACCAGGAATTACAACTGTTCTGTCTTTCCAGCAGCCCATTTTTTTAATCACTGCATCCCACCTAAATTATTTAAAAATAAAAATTATCTATTGACTTTCTGAAAGCTGATTTTATCCTCAAGCTTTATCAACCTTTGTTATTTTTGCCCCTTTGTTTCCTTCTGCAAAAATTGCAACTGCGAGGAGGCTTCCCAGTCATCTAAAGAGCATCAGTAAACAAGAGCAGAGACAGATGGCTGCAGCTCAGTTTAAACCAGCACAAGATCCAGCCTCTCCCCTGCATTGCAAGTACTACCCATAAGACATAAACATATGCATCAAACCAAACAACAATGCAGTAGTCCCAAACAGAAAATAAGTACGCATATAAAATCTGATAAGGAAGAAGTCACTGTAAGGACAGGGTGCTGAGGTTTCATGTACAGTGAACATCCATTACAACTGTACAGCCTTCCAATAATACAATGGGATGGGATGACGGCGGGGGGGGGTGGAGGTGGTGGTGAAGAGTTCTCCCTCCATTGTTGCTCCCAAAAGTATCGCTGGCAAAAAACAATCAGCAGGGAAAGTAAAATCAGGCATCTCCTTCCAGCAAAGTTACTCTTTCGAGAACTAATACACTGAACTCACGCAACCTGAGAAAATGGCATCTCTGATAGGCCTCTCAATTCACCTACTACTTCAGGAATTCAGTCACATTGACAAATAACATGCTAACCCCTTATTAAAATGACAGCTTCAAAGAGACAAAGAAAACCCACAAGATAACTCACAGATTTAGAGTGATAAAATTCTATTAAAACAATCACATTGGAGTTTTTTTTCATTCCTGAATTTGATGGGTTTTCATTTACTGCATAGGAGACTACTAGTGTTAGCACAAGATACTATTTACATTATGTGCCTTGCTAAATAGACTCAGATGTCCACATACATTCAATAAATCTATCTGAATCACGATAGTTCACTGTTTGCCTCTTCCACCAACTATAAATCCACTGCGATTCCACAGGCACACCTGCATGCCTGAATGACTTACATAAGAACGGGTTCAAACATTGCCCATCCTTCCCCAAACAAAAATTTTGACCCTGCTGAAATTAAATTAACAGCTCTCCCTCAGGGCTTCCTGATATTCCAGGTTCTTCCTTTACTTAGTAGTAGCAGAAAGCTTCAAGAACAGGGTTGCACAATCATCACCTCCAATCAGCTCTAATTGAAGGATGACACCTGACAGAGCAAGAAACTAGCACTCCAATTAATATAGACAGGAAAAAACAAGATTGTGGGAACAGCATCATTATTGGTAAAGCTCCAGCAAAACCCTCAGGTTGTAGGATGTTGGCACACTACCACCTCTGAAGTAGAGTTTAACTGCTTCTCAGTTCTGGCCCCTTTTTACCTCAGTGTTCACACTGAAACTTTAAGAACTGATTAACATGGGACTCGACTGATCGTCTCAAGAGAAGGCTGAATCTACTCTTCTGGGAATCCAATCTGTATTCCTAAAACGCAGTCTGACATATACTTCTGCAGGACCTTCCTAAAACTGGAGAACTACAAAATAAACACAGACTTCTCATATTAAACAGTTGCCCCCTTAGCGCAATTCACTCAGGGTCACCTAGAAGACTTCTCCCATTCATTTCCACAGTGCTATTTCCTGCTCCATACATTTAAAAGACTAAACAAAAAGCTGGTACACACCTGTATCCCCATGGAAGCAGCTGTCCTGGTGACATCTCCCAGAAGGCAAATCTCCGTCGCTTGGCCAGATCTGTCCTGTTTTTCGTACACCCACAATAGTGGCCTCAGACACAATGACTTGCTGTTGCCTGTGCCGTTTTTGAGACTGGGGGGTTGGTGGACTGCTACTGTCAAAGGACTGCTGAGAGTTCTGGGAGGGAGAACGGCTTTTATCCCGATACATGCGGTAAGTGGTGGGGCTGGGGGAGACATGGCTGGACTGCCCTGAGGAGAAGTCTTCCTCACTGGAGGTAAGGTTCTCATTGGAGCTACAATCAGGAGTATATCCTCCTCCAATATCTTCAAAACTCCTAGGGGAATAAGATCTCCTAGGCCACGTGAGATGTTTTTCCTGGTCAGTTGTGCCCTGATTTCGCAGAATAGGTCCTTTCCCTTCTCCTTCCCCCATCATTCCACCAACATAGATACTTTGATAAGGTTGAAAGTCCATGGGCTGCCAAGGTGAGCGGTTGCTGCCATTGGCATTAATCAGGTTATCTTTGAGAAACCTGGGGTTCAGTTCAGCATCCTCATATTCTCCATCATAGCCAAAGCTGCTCTCCGAGGACCTTCCCCTGTAAGCAGGCCTCTGGAACTCACTGAAGCTGGGTACCATGTTAGAAGGGAGTGAGTGCAAAGACTTTTTGCGTTCCATTTGCATGGCTTGGCTACCAAGGGAGCTTATTTTATCAGAAACATCTTTATCGTTGACCTTTACTAGACCCTTCTCATGATGATACTCCATATTCACATAAAAGGGCTTTTCAACAACATCCTTGTTATCTCCAGAAGAATGTGAATTAACCTTTTTAATCCTCTCAAAATTGGACCTTAGGGCTGCCACACTGGTGCTGTTCCCTCTCTCCTTAGAAATAGGTTCAAACGATCCCTCCTTCTCAGCAGATCCCACTAGCCTGCGAGTGGAAGATGATCTGTGTTTTGAAGGAGAGCCATCTGTATCGCAGCGATTTTCCGTATCTTCTACTACTCTCTTCAGTTTCTCTTCACCATAGTACTTACACCTGTCCTGCTCTCCTTCTCCGTGATGGGGGCTGTCCAAAGGCGACAGGTCTGACCCATCACTCTGGGCAGATAGCTTCCGCAGAGAGGGTACCCTGGGTTTGAACTTTTCCTCCCCATGGTGCGACTTGCTTTTTTCATATTCGTCTTGGTCAGCAGGCTGGTGATGATGCAGGTCTTGGATCTGCTGCTCTGCACCCCCTTCAGGCAACTGAGAAACACGTTTAAAACCCCATCTCTGTCTATCATAGCTTTTCTTCTCCTTTGCCAGAAGAGTCTGCAGGTAAATCATGCGGAACCTCTCCTTGTTGACCTCCATCTCCAGTCTCCGGATAGATGCTTTGCACATCTCCAGCTCCTGTTCAATGTCTCCCACAGATTTCAGCTCCATTTTAGGAGGCTCAGAGTCTGCAAATTGTGCTTTCCAAGCCTCCACAAACCCCACAGGGTCCACCATTTTGCATACAGGAGTAAGTGGAGAATACGGGAAGCAGGCTTGAGAGAGCTAGGTGGAGAGAATAAACCAACCGGATCTCACATGTAGAAGCAGAAAACAGCTCCGGCAGGGTCAACTCAATGCGCCTCTTTCACGGTCCATGCAGGGTAACTGCTGGCAAACAGCAATCCTAAAAAAAAAATCCCTCGGGTCAGCCTCTCCTCCCCGTCTCCTTCAGCTTTCGCCGGCCCCAGCCCACTCGCTACTCTCTCCCCGGCATGACTGATCTTTTGCTAGAGAACAACAACGCTCCCACCCCGGCGATCCCAGAGCACTCCAAAGTGGGTGGACAAAGGAGCAGGCTCGGGGCAGGGGAG